AAAAAAAAAAAAGACCCTCAAGCTGTCACCCTTGGTAAAGTGCCGTGGCGTCACAGCTCACAGCAACCTCAAACTCTTGGGCTTCCAGGGGTCCTCAAACTTTTTAAACAGGGGGTCAGTTCACTGTCCCTCAGACCATTAGAGGCCGGACTGCAGGCCCCAGGACAAGTTGGCTGCTAAGGAGGACAGGCAGCGGCGGCAAAAACACCCAGCAGGCTGGATAAATGTCCTAGACAGGCCACATGTGGCCCGCGGGCCGTAGTTTAAGGACGCCTGGAAACAATTCTCTTGCCTCAGCCTCCCAAGTAGCTGGGACTACAGGCATCCAACACAACACCCAGCTATTTTTTGTTTGTAGTTGTCATTGTCGTTTGGCAGGCTCAGGCTGGATTCGAACCCCGCCAGCTCCGATATATGTGGCTGGCGCCTTAGCCGCTTGAGCTACAGGCACTGAGCCTTTTTCCCCCCACTCTTGAGATACTTTACTAAGAAGCATGTGTTTCAACCCCATCCAGGTGAACATAAAGGACGCAAAGTCTCCATCTTTTCTTAGAGCTGAGTAGTACTCCATGGTATACATATACCACCAACAGCCATGGGTTGTTGGGTATTTGGGTTGCTTCCACGACTTGGGAGCCTGAAGAATCAAATGTCAAATTTCAATGAACAATAATTCCTGAACAGGCGTAAGCACCCGTTGCACAAATGGTGTCTTGCGTCCTGTACCCTGTCTCCGTGCGGAAGGCACGGAGCAAGGAATCTCAGAGGAGCTCACGCTGAGGCCTCTGCAAGTTGAAATATCACTGTACGTTCTTTTCCGAAGCTCCCCTCGCCACGGTCCTGAGCAATCGATTCGGACACCGTCTGGTGGTGATGCTGGGCGGCGTGCTGGTCAGCACCGGGATGGTGGGCGCCTCCTTTGCACACGAGGTCTGCCACATGTACATCGCCATCGGCGTCGTCTCTGGTAAGGGTTACGCCTTGGCTCTGAAGTTCTCCACTTAATTTGAAGAAGGAAGGAAGGAGAGGGAGGAAATGAAACTCAAATTGCATTTCTCGCTGTTTACTTTTTCTTTAAAACAAACAGTGTCTCAGTAGTTTGAATGGGCCCTATGGACTCCAGGAGATGGGTGAATCTGTTCTCAAATGCCCATGAGTTTTCATTTGATCCTTTTTTTATAAAAAAAAAAAGTTTACTGATGATGACGATCACTTCTGTTATAGTCTGCAGCCAAAAGGATGTCATTTTTACAGAGTTAGACTTGAATTTCTTTAGCTAATATTTCTCAAGTTAAGGTCTTGAGGGTCTAGGGCTGTAGGTAGGGGACATACAATGTGCTGGACTTACTCTTGAAGGGGTCTAAGAAAATTCTGTTCCACTTAAAAGGAGTCCACATATTACTCATAGATTACATGTTATATACCAGGAGTGTCCCCAAATGTATACACATTTTAGAGATCTTGTGGAAAGTAAAATCGGTCATTACCCAAAAATGTATGAATCGCAGGCAAAATGAATGTACATAGCATGTGTCGGTACACCTGATCAGTAAGGGTACCTTCAATTCAACTTCAAAAGTAATTACGGCTCGGCGCCTATAGCTCAACCGGCTAAGGCGCCAGCCATGTACACCTAAGGTGCGGGTTCGAATCCCCAGCCCGGACCCGCCAAACAACAATGACGGCTGCAACCAAAAAATAGCCAGGCGTTGTGGCGGGCGCCTGTGGTCCCAGCTACTTGGGAGGCGGAGGCAGGAGACTCGCTTGAGCCCAGGAGTTGGAGGTTGCTGTGAGCTGTAATGCCATGGCACTCTACCCAGGGGGACAGCTTGAGGCTCTGTCTCAAAAAAAAAAAAAAAAAAAAGTAATTACATAGACAACATCTTTTAATGCGTGTACATTTGGGGGGCATCCTCTGTATATGTGTGTGTGTGTATATATATATATATAATATATATATAAACATATGGAGTTAAGACATTTTCATACATTTCTATACATATCAAGAGACTTATTTCTAAAACAAGTCTTTTTTTTTTTTGAGACAAGGTCTCATTGTCACCCAAGCTAGAGTAAAGTGGCATCACCATAGTTCACTGCAGCCTCGAACTCCTGGGCTCAAGTGATCCTCCTGCCTCAGCCTCTAGAGTAGTTGGGACAACAGGTGCTATCACGCCCACTTAATCTTCCTAATTTTTTTGTGGAGATGGATCTGGCTCTCGCTGAGACTGGTCTCCAACTCCTGACCTCAATCAATCCTCCTGCCTTAGCCTTTCACTGGTGCTGAAATTACAGGTGTAAGTGACTGTGCCCAGCCCCTGATATAAGTCTTATGTAAAAACTACATTCAAGGCTGGGCTCACTGGCTAATGCCTATAATCCTCCACTCAGGGAGGCTGAGGTGGGAGGATTCCGTGAGCTCAAGAGTTCAAAAGCAGTCTGAGCAAGAACAAGACCCCATCTCTGTTAAAAAAAAAAAAAAAAAGAAAGAAAGAAAAGAAAGAAAGAAAAAATTAGCTGGGTGATGTTACAAGCACCTGTAGTCCCAGCTACTAGGGAAGCTGAGGCAGGAAGATTGCTTGAAGCCAGGAGTTTGAGGTGTCTGTGAGTGAGGCTGATGCCACAGGACTCCACCCAGTTTTAAAAAATTAAAACTATGTTCAATAATAGTTTTATCCACTGTGAATTATATAAATTCGAAAAAAATTCTATAAATTTGATAAAACCAGAGAACAGTTTTTCTATTCTTAGCATCCCCAAATAACTGTTGCAGCTTATGCAGCCCTTTAGTGAAAGCCATTTTTCTTTGCAACATCACTTTTCCCAGAATTAATGACTTGGCTCCCAATCATTAAGCCTCAAGAAATCCAAAACAGAAGTTCCAGATCTTAGAGCAGGTCCTTCCGGGCCCAGCCAGTAGCAGTCTCACTGTTCTTCTAACTTCTTTTCACAGGTTTGGGCTGCTGCTTTAGTTTTCTCCCTACGGTCACCATTCTGTCACAGTACTTTAGCAAGAGACGCTCTGTGGTCACCGCAGTGGCTTCTACAGGAGAATGTTTCGCTGTGTTTGCGTTCGCACCAGGTAGGCGGACGGTGAAACTCCAAGTGTCAATGTGAAATAGGGAAGCCGCTCAGGTGTTCCCGCTGCACTAACTTTCCCCCCAGTCTGGATGACTTTGACAGTCTGCGTAATGAAAGGTTATTACCCTCTCTCCACCAGCACCACCTTTTTTGGGTCTGTCCTCCGTAATCCCCACTTTAGGAATTCAAACCATTTTCCTAGTAGTCCAAGTTTACATAAATAGGAAGATGCGTGCCATATATTAAGTGCTAGGGCTTTCTCGATGCATGCATTCCAAAATAATTCAGTGATTTGGGATCATTCATCCCATTATGTCCTCTTCTTATTCAAAAGAGCGGTATTGAACATGGGTTTAAATTAGGCTAAAAGGTCAGGTTTATTATTTGCGGGTGGATAATCTTGCATCAAAATTTTTATCCCTGGCCTGGGCACAGTGGCTCATGCCTATAATCCTAGCAATTTGGGAAACCCAGGCAAGAAGATTGCTTGCGCTCAGGAGTTCAAGACCAGCCTGAGCAATGATGAGAACCTGTCTCTACCAAAAAACAAAAAAAATTATCTGTAGTTTATCTCCCTATCTCAATATTAATATGTAAATTACAAGAAAACTAGAGTAGTGGGAAGATAACTTTGGAGACCCAGATTCGTTTCTTGCTCTGCTATTTCTTTTTTCATTTGTTTTTTGAGACAGTCTCACTTTGTTGCCCTGGATAGAGTGCTGTGGCGTCATAGCTCACAGCAAACCTCAAACTCTTGGGCTCAAGTGATCTTTTTGCCTCAGCCTCCCGAGTAGCTGGGACTATAGGCACCCACCACGACTCCTAGCTATTTTTACAGATGGGGATCTCACTTTAGCTCAGGCTGGTCTCGAACTCTCAAGCTCAGGCAGTCCACCCGCCTCAGCCTCCCAGAGTGCTAGGATTACAGGCATGAGCCACCTCTGCCATTTCTTAATGAACATGTCAGTAGATTGGATTTTGTTCATAGGAGACATGGGTGGAAGTATTTAGGAGTGACATGTTATGATGTCTGAAGCCTTCCAGGTGGTACTGAAAAATGAATGTGTACACATAAATATATTGAGAGAAAGATACAGTTGACAGAGACACAGAAAAATACTAATTGTCTGGTTTAGGTGAAGGATGGGCATATAGACCTCGTTCTGTCCACTTTTCTGTCAGTATGAAAGTTGTCAAAATAAATCATCGAGAGGAGGAAGAACCAATGGAGAGTGAGTGTCCCAAGGATAGTGTGTCTCAGTCAGTCTGGCTTCCCATCACTGGGCACTGTCCCTGGTGCTTGGTGGGTGCTCAAGAAACAGGAAAATCAGACTGATTGTTGCCAGGGGAGCGCAAAGCACTTAGTAATTCACAAGTCTAAACTATCTTGCAATTCTGAGTTTCCATATTAAAGGGGAGAAGGAGCAGTCTGAGGGAGGAGCCGTGCTCCAAAGGCAAGTGGAGCTCCCCAGGAACGCGGGGCTCTCCTGCTAAGCCCGTCTCCTGGATAACCGAGTCACCATGTCTGTTGCACTTGACTCTCAGCCCTCAAAGAATTAGAGTGCAGTAAAATGCAATTGTAATAAGTATCCTATAACCTTTCTGGGATAATGAGAAGGAGATACTGTGAGATCTTACGGGGCCTGCACTATCCCACTGTGGCTCTGAAGCTGGTGCTCTGTCTGGCCACGTCCTCTACCTCACATTCCTGCGTCCAGCCTTCTCTTCAGGCCTCCCAGTCAGCAACCTAGGACTCCTCTTAATGGTAGGAAGGAGGAGAACTCAGGTAGTTAAGGACATACCTTAACTGGAGGATGCTACCATGTAATTCTGAAATAATCATATGAGCTTTTAGATTCTCAGATTAGACTCTTAGTTTATTTTTTTTAATTTAATCTGCTACTCTTGAGTCTTAAATGGATACATAATGACATAACTCAGAGGTTTGGTAAGATTCTTTTTTGTAAAAGGCCAGATAGTAAGGAGCTCAGGCTTTGGGGATTATATAGTCTCTGTCACAGCCACTTGATTCTGCTGTTACAACACAAAAGCGTCTGTAGACTCTTTACACAAGGCGGCAGGGCTGTGCTGCAGTCAAGCTTCCTTAACAAAAACAGGCAGGGGGTGGGTTTGGCCCATGGACCACAGTTGGTCAGGGTAGGTCGGTCACAAACTTACTTCACTTCTTGTGCCTCTACCTGGAAAAATGCACCCCCTCCAAAGCTGTTTTGGAGACTTGAGCTATATTTATATATAATAATTGTCATGTACATTTCGTCCTTACTGATTTATAAAATGCACCAAAACTTAGAGTAAAGGATAGCCAGGATTGACTGCTTTCCCCCTTGTGAGGAAATTTCTACACAGATTATTACTGTTCTGGGCCTAGATACACCAGATACCAAATCTGGATCCATACTTTTTTTTTCTTTTTTTGAGACGGGGGTTTCACTCTGTCACCCTGGGTAGAGTGCCACGGCATCATAGCTCATAGCAACCTCAAACTCTTGAGTTTGAGCAATCCTCTTGCCTCAGCCTCTCGGGTAGCTGGGACTACAGATGCCTCCATGATGCCTGCCTAGTTTTTTCTGTCTTTAGTAGAGACAGGGCCTTGCTCTTGCTCAGGCTGGTCTCGAACTCTTGAGCTCAGGGAATCCACCCGCCTCGGCCTCCCAGAGTGCTGGCATTACAGGTGTGATGCCCATACCTCTTGATGTTTTTATCTCCTGTGTCTCAAGTCCATCATTGACCTTAGATTTCATTTCTTCTCTATTCCTGCCTATCCAAGCAATCATGGCTCTGAAGGAGAGCATCGGCTGGAGATACAGCCTCCTCTTTGTGGGTCTGCTACAGCTGAACATTGTCGTCTTTGGAGCACTGCTAAGACCAATTATTATCAGAGGACCAGGGTCGCCAAAAATAATCCCCCACGAAAACCGGAAAGAAGTGCAATACATGCTTGAAAATGAGAAGACACGAACCTCAATAGACTCCATTGACTCAGGAGTGGAACTAACTACCTCACCTAAAAATGTGCCTAGTCACGCGAACGCGGACCTGGAGCTGAAGGCCGACATGCAGCAGAACCTGGTGAAGGCGAGCGCCAAGCCGAGCGATCAGAAAGCCCCTCTGTTAGACTTCTCCATTTTGAAAGAGAAAAGTTTTATTTGTTACGCATTATTTGGTCTCTTTGCAACACTGGGATTCTTCGCACCGTCCTTGTACATCATTCCTTTAGGCATCAGTCTGGGCATTGACCAGGATCGTGCTGCTTTTTTATTATCTGCGATGGCGATTGCAGAAGTGTTTGGAAGAATCGGAGCTGGCTTTGTCCTCAACCGGGAGCCCATTCGTAAGATCTACATTGAGCTCATCTGTGTCATTTTACTGACTGTGTCTCTGTTTGCCTTCACGTTTGCTACTGAGTTCTGGGGTCTCATGTCTTGTAGTGTGTTTTTTGGGTGTATGGTTGGAACAATAGGAGGAACCCACATTCCACTGCTTGCTGAAGATGATGTCGTGGGAATTGAAAAGATGTCTTCTGCGGCCGGGGTCTACATCTTCATCCAGAGCATAGCAGGACTGGCGGGACCACCCCTTGCAGGTGATTTAAATACATAACATACGAACCCTGTCTGCTCTCCCATAGGGGTTGTGCTAGCTTCCTGTTCAAAGCTAATACAAAAAAAAAAAAAAAATCTGCTTCCATTTTTATACTTCCGTTGAATTTTAGAGTTGCCAGGGATTAAAAATTACCTGAGCCAACCTTCTTGATTTAAATGTGAGGAAACTGAAGACCAGAGAATTTCAGCCAAAGTTGGTATGGTAAATTAATAAGCAGGTCAGGATTCGAACCTGTGTCTACAGTCCAAGTTGCTCGAGGCTGTTTCAATCATCTCAACTTGTTGAAGGGTAGAATTTTTAACGCATGGGTTTTTAACCTTTATAACCCATCTGACTTTTGAAATAATAGGGCTAAGGGACTTGTGTGGGTCACCTTCCCTTCTTAAGAAAGGTGTCTGGGAAGTGAGTACCTAGCAACACTCTGTACATACCTAATTGATTAGCACAGACTGCGTCCTGCTTGGGAGGGGACATAGATATGTCGCATACCTCAGATCTGAAATAAGTCCTTCAAGTCACTGGGATTAGAAATCTTCTCCTCCGTTAAAAGAGACCCAAAGTGAACAGCAGTGAAAATAAAGACAGCTCTTTCCAAAAAAGAAAGAAAGCTCTTTCAGGTCACCTTTCCAAAAAGCATACATCTAACTGTCCCCTGGTTTAGATTCTCTGCAAGGACAGACTTAGCCCGTGAAGATCCAGTTAGTGACTTCTTGTTCTTCTCTCCAGTCTACCAAAGATTTTTTTGCCTTGAACTCTCTTTTTTTTGTTAATAAGACAAAAATAAAACAAAGAAGGCAAAGAAACCAAGAGGTTTCCAAATTCGCTGGGGCCCTGGGTGGGAGGGTTGATGTCCAGGGAGGACGTTGCTAATGGCTGCCGGTGCTCTCCCCCAGGTCTGCTGGTGGACCAAAGTAAAATCTACAGCAGGGCCTTCTACTCCTGCGCAGCTGGCATGTTGGTGGCTGCCGTGTGCCTCGCCCTGGTGAGACCGTGTAAACAGGGACTGTGCCAGCGCCCGCATTCAGGTGAAACAAAGGCGGCGAGCCATCGTGGGAAGGCTTTGCAAGACATACCCGAAGACTTTCTGGAAATGGATCTTGCGAAAAGTGAGCACAGAGTTCACGTGCAGATGGAGCCAGTATGATGCACTTTCCTGTAACAGCAGCTGCTGTGTTGGCCTGGGGGTGGGGGTGGGCCAGGGGCTGGGGGAGACAGGGAGGTGGAGGAGCCAACCGCTGTTCTACTTTGCTTTCAAAACTGCGTTTTAAAGGGAATGTATATGGGAACAGCACTACCAATATCTTCTTTTCCTTTAAAGATTTCCTTTTTGCTTGTTCTTTTAAAGCCAAAACAAAAACAACCAAACACTCTACCGTATATAAATCTGGCTTGGCTCCATAGCAATATGAATGATAAGTCCGAGGACTCTTGGGTTCACATTCCAATATTACTAGTGTCGTGAACTGGAAAAGGGGTTTTAAGATCACTCACGTGGAATAGACTATCTTGTCAAATGATCTCCAGCCCAAGTCACTGAAGTGAAATTGGCCATTCAAAAACAACAACAAAAAAATCTTCCATCATTTTAAAAACTCTTACGTTCAGAATTATAAATTAAAAGATCTTGTTTTTAAACCTTTGGAGGAAAATACTGAGGTTTTCCTTAAGAAATTATGGCCTCTTGAATTTTCTACATATTTCACGGAAGTTAAGGATAGTTTAAGACCAAACGTTTGACAGATAAACACAAATTTTTAAAATGTATGTAACTTCAATGTGAAGGTGACCACTTCTTTTTATGGCCAGTCATTACCAGAAGTATTTCAATACAGAAGATAAAAGACGGCATTCAAAAATACGTTTCCTGTTGCTTTTAACTATTCAGAAATATGTGATTGTAGTGTCTTTAATTTAAACCACTATTTATTATTAAGTTATTCTAGGATGATTAAAGCAATCAAAAGAAAGAAAATCCAAGACATAAGCAGCATTTTTACCTCCTTTCTGCAGTTCTTCAAATGCCTCAAAGAATATTCCTTCTCTTGTAGAGTTACTCTCATAAAAGGCCAAGTTGTTACGAATCTCCAATTTGATTACAGGGGCGGAGGGTGGGGGGGGATAATGGGTAGCAAATCGCCTTAGCTTTTAAAAATCATCTGTTTTATCACCTAAGAATACTTGAGAATCTTTGCTCAGATTTGTATTTCATTGAATTATCGCTTCACAGCCTTTTGGCTGAGATCAAGTGTGAATTGTTGAAGCATTTCTGATTTTTGTTTAAAAAAGAAAAACACGCATCTAACTTTGGAAGCATTTCTGTTTCACACGGGAGTAGCAGAGACATGTACGTTACCAGTTACCAGTTGCAATTCGCGTCTCATGTAAAACATGACTTGATCGTTGTCAGTCGCCCTAGGTATCACCTAAACTGGTCATTGTTCTGTTTGTTATTTTTTTGTTTTGAGTTACACTACGTGCATAGTATTTCTCATTTTAACAGTTTTCTGGAAAGAGGGGAAATGTGAGGATAACAGATGGGCGATTCCCTCACCTGTTACCGAGTCTCACCCCGCAGGTGACTCACCCCGCAGGTGACGGCCAATGCTCGCTGCTCCCTCTTTATTCATCTTTAATGTTAATTTATGACAACTCAGGGGGAAAAACATAACAAGCCTAGTTTGGTTACAGGTACACACAAGCTTGAATATTTCTCTGCACTGAAATGAAAGTGGCATAGTTCATCACCACCTGCTACATTTTGTATAGCATTTTATCAGCCATAGAAATAGGACAATCGATAAAACTTTGGGTAGGGTGGGGGAGAGAATGACAAAGTGTCTGTCAAAACCAGACACACCTAAACCAAGGTGGATGTAGCAAACCTCTGTCACTGCTTGAGAAGAACTTTGAGCTTGTGGCAGTTTTGCAGAATTACATGACTTCAGCACTTTATAACATATTTTTTACTATGAATGTTCAATACAATTTAATATTTATAACTGATTTCCAAGGGACCTGCTCTATGTCCATTCTGTTAACTGCATGGAAAAAAAAAATGTATGCCAATTTCAGTATGTCAATGATCAAGGTTTTAAATATTTGGAAGAAAAGAAAAACAAGATTGCTGATTTGTTCTGTATTAATGACATTCTGGTACTTCTAGATTTGCAATAAATTTATGGCTTTTTTATTTAAAGAGACTGATTTTTTGCTTCTGCTATCAGGATTTTTTAATTGATTCTTACAGCTTTCATTGTTGGATCCAGTTATAAAAATCCCAGGAAGATTCATTTCAAATAAGTAACTTTTCAAACTTTTCTATAAAACCTTTTAGCTCTAGGGCAGCACCCGTGGCTCAAAGGAGTAGGGTGCCGGCCCCATATGCCGGAGGTAGTGGGTTCAAACCCAGCCCCAGCCAAAAACTGCAGAAAAAACCTTTTAGCGCTACTAAAAACACGTAAGTTTTCCCAAGAATAGCTGTTGAACTTCACTACTATTATTATTTTGGTCACTGAAACAGGACACTTGTAATTTATATTGAATCTTTTGTACAAATTGTTTTATTTTTTTTTCTGCAAATTAAGTTTTCTCTCTCTGATTGCCAGTTAAATCCAGAGTTTTAATTTCATAGTTTAACAACAAAGGGTCATACACTGAAGCCAGTGCGTACACCTAGGATTTCAGTCTAAGATTGTCCATGTACATAGCTGAAATCCGTTCCAAGGTTTGGCCTAACAAATGCTAGAAAAAAATACTATTTTTTAAAAAAGTCGTTTGTACAGGTATTAAATTTCATCTTGCACACTGAAATCATACGTACAGGGCAAAGTCAGAGCTTTTATATTTGCATTTATTCATATAACCTTTCAAACACTACTTAGCTGAATATTAAAACAAAAACAATAAAGATCGGGGATTCCCAGAGGGTTGGGGGGCGGAGAGAAGGATGACTGAGTGGAGTAGAGGGGACTTTTCGGGGAGTGAAACTATCCTGTATGACCCCGTAATGGTGGAGACCAACTATGCATTTGCATTAGTCAGAGCTCATAGAGTAAACAACACAGAGTGAATACTTACGTAAGATCTGCACTTTATTTAATAATAGGTAGTATATCAATGTTGGTTCGTCATCACTTGTAGTACATGTACCACACTAACTCCAGATATTAATAATAAAGGAAGCTTTGTACAAAGAAAAAAAAAAACAATAGCAACTAGTGAGCATACTATGATTACAGTCCCTCACAGACTCGTTACTGCACGTGAAATGCCAGCAGCGTTATTCACTGGCCCACTGAGAGGTCTGACACTGAGCACCACCTCTGGGCTGATGTCCACCATCCTCTCACGCTTCTCCATTGTCATGGCGCCATCCTTCCTGACTTGGATCAAAGTCCACCAGTTCCAGTTGATCCATTCCATCAGTCTCTTCCACTTCCTCTCCAGAAGGAAGTTTTTCTAGAAAAGAGAGCTTATCAGGAGAAAGAAAGCCATTCTCAGGAAAGTTTACCTTAAATCCAATGATTAGGCGACCCTTTTCATATGGTCTATGATAAATTGACATGCCTTCATTCAGCACACACTTGATATCTGCAGGCTTCACAATCTGATCTGGAGGAGAGGTGATGACTATGGTTCGGTTGTCCGGAGTAGATATTGGCTTTCAGAAGCCACACAGTGCTTCAGCCAGCTGTATGTCCATCCACATGCAAAGGTCTTCCCCTCGTTAAGTAAAAACAGCACAGCCCTTCTAATCCAACACAATGATGACATCTCCTAGCTCCAGGCCTGGTTCTTGGTCTCCTTCACCATGAAATGTTATCTTCTGGCCATCTTTCATGCCTTTGTCAATATGAACTTCTAGAATCTTATTCTCTCAAACTATTTTCCTTTCATTGCAGCTTTTACACCTATTTTTAGGGCTGATCCATTCCCCATGGCCCTGGCGCGCCACGCGCACAGACTGAATTTGCTGAACCATTCCAGGTCCTATCTGATGAACTCTTATTTGCATTCTAGTACCTTGGGACATACAAATTATTTTAAAGCACCTCACAAAATAGCTAAATAGTTCAAAGGAAGTATTAAATAATGAAAGACAGGAGAGGGGAATCAAACTTAGCAGTATAATCAAATGAAGAAGCATAAATTTTCAGCTAAGAATTGAAATGAGAATAAAAGCAGTGATTGAACTTGATTATTTCTTAATGAAAAATACATGAATGAAATAATATTCTGGTAGGCAGCGAAAGCCTATCAAAAGTAACAAGGGCAAGTAGTTAGAACTACCTACACTCAATTACAGAACAATTCTCTTAACCTCATGTGAGTAAATAGCTCTCACACATGCCAGGGGCAAACCTTTTCTGTAAAGGTCCAGATAGTAAATCATTATGGCTTTTGGGCCACAAGATGGCTGTCTTACTCAACTCTCCTATTGCAGGTCAAATGCAGCCATCTACCATACATAAATGAATGACAGGCTCAGTGGCTCAAACCTGTAATTCTCAGCATTTGAGGCTGGGATTTGGGAGGACTGTTTAAGGCCAGGAGTTAGAGACCAACCTGGACAACATCACAAGACCTCATCTCTACACAATATTCAGAAAATGAGCCCAGCATAGTGGCTCATGCCTGTAATCCTAGTGCATTGGTAGGGTGAGGCACGAAGAGGGTGCCTCACCAGGAGGCACCAGGAGTCTAAGGCTGCAATGAACTATAATTGCACCACTACACTCTAAGCCTGGTTAGCAGCAAGATTCTGTCTCTAAAAAAAGATATGAACGAATAAGCATGGCTATATTTCAGTGCAATTTTATCTGTGGGATACTGAAGTGTGAATTTCATAAAAATTTTCACATAAGAAATGTTATTTTTATCTTTTTCAATCATACAAAAATGTAAGAAGCACTATTTTTTGGCCTGTGCTCTGCACCTCCATGGCAGTGGAACTGGCCAGGACCACCAGCACAACTCTGAAAACTAACAGTTCTGCCTGATAGGGAAGGATCGTTATGGTCAAAGAAATTCTTAGCTCATAGGTGGCCCAAAATAGAAAAGATCAAACTGCTGATAACACATTTATTAGTTACCAGTCTTCATGTCCTCTGATTAAAGAGATTCTGCTTTAAGCCTGATGAGTTAACAAGGTTTCAGTATAAATATAGATTGTTTCCCTCCCCAAAAGAAAACCATTATAGTTGTAAAAATGAATGAAGATCATGGGCCCTTTTAAGGTAGATGTATTCATAACTGATACAGTGTTTCCAACCTTTTAACAAAGGTATCAACTTTATACTCCAGCAACATGTAATGTTAATTTTCCAACCTTTATCTGCATTGCTTTTAGCTTAATACGTGGTGATAAAATAGAGAAAAAGGATTGGAAGTCAGGGTTCCCAGGGCCCAGACTCAAGTCACCTGGAGGTATCTGTTACATTAGGTTTCCATACTCCAATCCAAATTTTCCAAATCATCACGATCCTTATTGTTAAAAGTTCCTACAGTAAAAAAAAATAAAAGTTCCCACATATGGGGCTCACTAATAGTGATCTGGGGTTGAGAAGCCATAGCCTTTAACATTTGAAATGATGTGTTACTTAGTTCCATGTAAGCATTTCCCATTGTTTATTGAAGCAGTACCCTGAACCCCATAAATGCATCAATGTACAAAGTTATGATTTAATAAAAAAAAAATTTTAAAAACAAAAACTAAAAGAATAAAATAAATAAAATTTGAAATGGTTATGAAAATTCCTTAAACCAATTTAAAGACAATCCGGACACGTTATACTCTAAAATCTCACTCCTGTAAATATACATTGCACGGAGAAAACAGAAACTGTCTTGTTTTCAGATCTGTCTTTAATATATTAACGTGTAGGTCCTAAGACAGGGCAACGGTGTCCAACAGGTTGGCAGCTCCCATTGCATAAGCAGGAAAATAGTGCCCCCTCGTGTTCAGTTTTTATAATTACTCTGAAGGGGCCCAACAAAAAAAGAGGCGATACCACTTGTAACGTCGCTTTTCATGTAAAAACTCTCATACTCAAATCAAAATTACTTCAGTGTGACTATCAGTATCCTGGAGGGTAAGTCAAACAACAATCATGATATCTCAGAACACATCACCAAAGGTAATGAAAGAAAATACAAATTGTGATCACGAATATGTTACCATTTAGATGCCTTCCCAGCAATTCAAGAAGAATTCAAGCGGGCGAGAAACTTACTACCCCAGCATCCAACCAAGATGGGAGCGTGGTTCACACCTGTAGTCCCAGCCGCCTGGGAGGCTGAGGCAGGAGGATCTCCTGAACCCAGGAGTTCAAGGCTGCAATGAGCTATGTTTGGCACCACTGCACTCCAGCCTGGGTGACAGAGCAAGGCTCTATCCCTCAAAATATAAAAAGAATTCAACCAAAATTGTAAGTGCCTTCTCAACACAGACTATTCCCTCTCTTAGTCCCAACTTTGTCCCTAAGCTCCAGACTCATAAATGCCTGCCTGGCAGCACAGAGCTGTCCAACGGGCATCTCCATCTTAAAATGTCCTCAGAAGAACTCTGGATCCTCCTCAAAGCCATTCCTCCATAAATCCAATCAGCTCTACTTTCTAAATATATCCAGAAGCTGACTGCCTTTGCCAACTCCACCAGGACCCTTATTCAAGCTAATATCATCTCAGCTGGATCACTGCAATAATCTGCTAGCTGGTTTGCCAGCTTCCATGCTCCACACTACCCCCACTGTATTTTCTTCATAGTGGCTATAATAATCCTCGCAAAGCAAAGTCAGACATGAAGCCTCAGCAATGGACCCTGTGGGAACTGTCTCGTGCCACTGCTTTCCCCCTTGCTCCTGCCACACTAGCCTTGTCGGCTTTCTTACTGTTCCTGGAATTGTTCTTACTGATCCAAGCCTCGGGCCTCAGCGTCTGTGGTTCCCTTTGCCTGGGACACCCTTCCCTTGGTTGTGTACAAGATGTAGCCCTTCAATTTGGCCACCTCCAAATGACCCCCTAAGGAGGCATTCCTGATTATCTTCTCCAAAATGACCCTTGTTTCTGTCTCTTTTCTCCGGCATGCTGTGACAGAAGCAGCTATTTTTTTCTACTAGTGTATTAGCAGGTTTTTGTTCACTGCTGTATCCCCAAGGCTTTGAGCAGGGCCTGGCACCCGGTAGGTGGTGCTCCATAAATATTCTTGTACCAAAACCTATGTGGGTCATTACAAAATTTTTGAGATACATAAAAACCAAGAAATGTAAAATCCATGTAGACGGAAACAAATGGAGCCCTCCCAGCAACACCGGTAAACTGAGCAAGGTGAAACTTGCACAGGTGAATCCGAAAGGACGCTGTTCACTGTGTTTCTTGAAAGTGAAATAAAGGACCATAACACAGTCTGTCTCAAAACTATCACAATGACCCCCTTATATGAACGAATGAATGAGTTCTTTGTTTTTCATTAACTTTTTTCCACTTTAATTATGCAGCAGAAAAAAAAAAGTATCTATTTACAACAGTTCAAGAGAGTCTGATGCCCCCTAGGAAGTACTTGGAGGCCACAGGACACTGAGAGCGTGTGCTCACAACTTACTGGCCCAATATCTGAGGACGGGTCTCACAGTGCCCTGCAGGACTGTCCTACAGGGGTGGGCCAGCTGACCTAGGAACCGAGACTAAACACAACAGTGGGGGGGGGGAGTAACACTAAGGTAAGTATGCCAACGGGGGCGTTGAGTGCGAGCATATTGCCAAAGTCAGTTTTGTTTCAACTCAACCGATTTTCCACTAGACCTTTTATTTTTCATGATGCTTTTCTTTTTTAATGTCTCACTGGCAGCAAGTGCTTTTCTGGTGTTGCACCTCTCTGTCTTTGGTGCTAAGGCAGAAAGTACATGAACTGATTTCTCTGACTTTGAGCAACCCCAGATGGCTCTAGCTGAACAGTAAAGAAGTTGAAAGGAAGCTTAATCTTATAACCCCTTCTATAAACAATGTGGAAAAAAAAAATTGGTTGGGTTTCTGGCTGGCGGTATTTTCCCCCTATGAGGTCATGTAGCCCAGTGAAAACAGTGCAGAACTCAAAATCAGGAAGACTTGGGATCTGGTCCCGTTTTTGCCTTTGGTTTAAACACACGCGTTTACTCAGCTACTGCAGGCTTGTTTCCGCATCCAGGAAATGGACTAAACAATCTCCACACTATGAGCACCTCACAACTCCTCTTTCCAAAAACGAAAATGCATTTATAAAGCAATGCCAGGCCCTCAACAATGGGATAGGAAGGTGAAAATCTGCAGCAGAGAATAACCGCAAGATCAAGAAGCAACAAATATCACATATTCTCACTCCTGTTTGGGAGCTAAAAGGTGGGTCTCATCTAGGCAGGGAATAGAATGACAGATACCAAGAGGGCCATGAAGAGAGGTTGGTTAATGGGTACAGACATACGGTTAGATAGAAAGTATTAAGTTCTAACCTTGCACAGCAGGGTAGAGTGAGTATAGTTAACAACGTGTGGTACATTTCAAAATCCCTGAAAGAGAAGACTTGAGTTGTTTCCAACACATAGAAATAAGAAATACTCAAGGGGTGGGCGGCGCCTCTGGCTCAAAGGAGTAGGGCGCTGGCCCGGTGGCAGGTTCAAACCCAGCCCCGGCCAAAAACTGCAAAAAAAACCCAAATACTCAAGGAGATGATGGATACCCCAAATACCCTGACTTGATCATTACACATCCTGTGCTTATAACAAAACATCACATATACCCCATAAATATCTGTCGATAAAAATCAACGCATGTATCCCATACATAAGTTATCTACAGAAATTGTTTTAGAGAGAGGAGAAGAAACTGAACACTAAACCCAGAAGCCCTCATAAGTGTCCGCACTCTTTCAGTTTGAATATCAACCCTCTGTACTGACAGAAGATCTGGGTGGCCTTTCCCTCAAGCCTTTCTCTAGTACCTCAGTTTCCTGGACGCATTTTCCAGGTAGACTAGAGAGCAGCCACAAGCCACAGGGGGCTGGTAAGCTCGTGAAACGTGGCCAGTTGGAATTGAGAGGTACTGTCTGTGCAAAAGACACACGGGGATTTGAAGATTTAGTATGAGAAAAGAATATAAAATATTTCAATATTTATACTGATTACACGTTGGAATAATAATAGCTTGGGTGCACTAGATGAAATAAAATAGATGGGCCGGGCGCAGTGGCTCATGTCTGTGATCCCAGCACTCTGGGAGGCCAAGGTGGGTGGATTCCTGGAGTTCAGGAGTTGGAGACCAGCCTGAGCAAAAGCAAGATGCCCTCTGTAAAAATAAACAGCCAGCATTGTGCTGGGGCACCTGTAGTCCCAGGGCAGCTATAGTCCCAGCTACCTGGGAGGCTGAGGCAAGAGAGTTTGAGGCTGCTGTGAGCTATTACACCTTGGCACTCGACCAAGGGTGACAAAGTGAGACTCTGTCTCCAATAAATAAATTAGATGATTAAAATTGATTCCACCTGCTTCTTTCTGCATTTGCTAATGTGACAGCTAGAAAAATTAAAACGTAACATATGTGGCCTGTATTATGTTTCCACTGGACGGTGCTACTCTAGATAGCAGAATCCAGAAGGTGACTGAGACTCCAACTCTGCAGTGAAACACTTTTTTCAGGGTTCTCCGGGGGAACTCATTGCACTCACTGCTCTGCTGCCGTCGCCATCCTGGTTTTCCAAGGCCGCGCGCAGAGCGCCGCACACGTGGTTCACCCCCAGTCGGCCTGCGGCGGCGGCGGCTGCGGCGGAGGAGGTTACCCCGGGTCGCGTCGCCAGGGGAGGCCACGCGGCCCACCCCGCGCCGCGGAGCCTGCAGAGGGAAGTCCCCGGGCGCGGAAGCAGGTGGCGCGCCGGCCGCTCGCAGCTGCTGGGCCCGCGGTGTCCGCAGCCGCCTGGGCGCAGGCGGGACAGCTACGCGCTTCCTGCTCGGGAAGGGCCCGGGCAGGTCCAGCCTTAGCGGTCTCGCAGCTGCCTGCTTTGATTTTAGCTCGCCTGCTCTGAAGAGAGGGTTTGATGTGTAAATTATTCTTAGCCGGAGGATTTACGTTTCAAAACGCAAGCTGAACAAGAATCGACAGGATCTTTGCCAAATTCTTGGGTTCGGCCCTCTCCATTGAAAGCCTGTAGGTGCTCAGGGGCTCACTTTGGGAGGCGGTGGGCAAGATCACCGGGAGTTCAAAACCAGCCTGGGCAACAGAGAGAGAGAGAGAGAGAGACAGACACACACACACACACACACACACACACACACGCCCAAGCGCCCACCGTATCTTAAATTGTATTTTTTAAGTCTGTGAACTGAAATGTCAACATTTATTCCTTTCCTAGCTGGAGAAAGATAGTAATTCTGTCAGCACCAAGAAATAGGATCCGTGACATAAACAGCATTTCAAATTCACTTATTTCTAAGATAGTAGACAGTGGAAAATATGCTTCTTACTTGTTCAATATCTTATTCATTTAGCACACGCAGTGCAAAAATCTGCTTGGATTGCTGTCATTTAGTGAAAATCACTTTTTTAAACTACAAAGTTTTAGCCATAATACATAAAAATTATGTTCAGTAGATAAATTCTATTTTTAAATTTAACCCCAAGAAATTGTCCAAAAGTATATACAACACAGAATTAGCTATCCACAGCACTTAAGTGATGATTGCCGAATAAATGCCAGTTATGCAAAATTTTGTTTGGCCCAATAACAAGAATGAATGATTTGTTATTTTTCCTCCCTAGTTGAGAGTAGGCCCCAATGGATTTTTTTTTTTTTTTTTTTTTTTTTTTGAGACAGAGCCTCAAGCTGAGCCCCTGGGTAGAGTGCCATGGCTTCATTGCTCACGCAACCTCCAACTCCTGGGCTCAAGCAAGTCTCCTGCCTCAGCCTCCCAAGTAGCTGGGACCACAGGCGCCCGCCACAACGCCCGGCTATTTTTTGGTTGCAGCCATTATTGTTTTTTTGCAGGCTCGGGCTGGATTCGAACCCGCCACCTTAGGTGTACGTGGCTGGCGCCTTAGCCGCTTGAACCACAGGCGCTGAGCCCCCAATGGATTTTTAATCTTGTCCAAATAACTATAATTCCCAACTTTTTGCACTTAGGCAAATCTGAGTTCAAAAGGGTGTGTGAATAACTCTGACCTTCAGGACTAAAACTGTGCTTACCTTGTAGAAAAATAAAAGAAAATATAATAGAATGGGTAATAAAGTACATTAGAGGAAAAAATAAAACCCATCGCAGAACCCATAAAATTCTGTGCTGCCAAGTTCTCTTTTCAGTGTTGGAATAACCAAATACTCTCTCTTCAATCACGTTTAACAGCAAACTACCCTTTTCCAAAATTATTTAAGCAAGTCTAATCAAGGAATAGAGTGAATCCACGGGAAATCAGATTTATAAAATGTGCCTTAAATCACACTGCTTAAGTCAGCACAATGAAAGAATTTAAGTTTCTTTCACTGAAATTTCTGGATTTCTGAGATACACTGAGCTAGCAGAGGCGCTTGTCAATTTTGGTTTTCAACCTGCTTGCTACCAGAGCGATGGGTTGATGCCCACGGCCTGCAGACTACCGTGGGGCTTCCTGGCATCCTAGCAGACAACCCCACCATACTTTCTCCCCAAATCAAGGAAACACTTCACAATGCAAAAAAGTGACACACATTGTAATAATACACCTGAATTGGGCTCTAAAACTACAGAAAAAGTACACTCACAGACTGTAAGTACTATTATAAACTATTTCTAAGACCCCTCACAAATGCCTAAATGCTATAGCTGAGAATTCCAACAGAAGTCCCACCACCAAAAGTCGCTGTAGTGTAAGTACCACTGTTGTTTTCACTTGTAAATATTCCCAAGAGGTCACATCTTAAGCTGCTAAAATCTTCTATGAATTGTCGCTTCTTTCAGGAATAAGCAAGGGATAACCAGCAAGGGAATAAAAGAGAGGTAAGTGCCCCTTCCCCAGAGAGTAGGGCAAGGTCACAGAAGAGGAGGGATGAGATGGAGATCAGAGGACACGGAAGTTCACAAATGTGCCACGGTGGGCCTAACGGAGGGGGAGCCGCTTCTAAAAACAAAAAGCAAAACTCACCCCCTTGAAATTATGTGGATTTGTTCCTTAGGACATATATGGTCATATTTAAAATATTTACTACTCCTAGCTTTCTGGTGAGACATAAACATAATGGAAAAACAGAAATAACATGCTCACTGCCACACACCAAGCTAGTAAGATAGAAGACAGTTTACAGAATTTTTATTATTCAAAATGAGTCTCATTTCAATTCAGGTGCTTTAAAGAAGGTTCTGTCCTGTTACTTGGACACAGCACATAATCAGTAAGTAGTTTATTCCAATGAAGTACTCCACCCAAATGAAAGCAGAATGTGCACGTTTATTTTAATTACTCCTAATTGAAGGTCCTTATTTTTGGAGAACGGCACGGCATTTCATTATCCACTCCTTCCATTCCTTGAAGGCTTCAACGGGTTTTGGTAAATTCCCACTATGCTCCCGACTGTGTTTCGGAGTTACTCCAGGGGTGTCAGCAGATTCATCATCGATCCATCTCACTAGCGCCTTGAAAAACAGAAAACGTTCATATTTTAACAAACGACAGCAGAATAATTTTTGCAAGGGAAAAACATTGGCTCCTAGATCAGGTGATCTAAGCCGGTGATTTATATTACCCCAGGAAGATGCTGCATTTGATAAGGAGATGGTTATGAATATGAAATGGCATATGCAGTACTGAGGGAAACAGCCAGTACCAATATACACAAACTTTTAATTATAAATCACGGTCAGAAGTGTGCTTAGGAACAAAGACAATTTAAGAAGCACTCTCATTCTTCCACTGACTTTTTTAGGGGGTAAGATAATTATTTTCTTTCCTCAACTTGCTAAATATCCCACAAGGCCTTACACTGTATTTTCAACTTGATATGTAGGTATATACATATCTAAGTGTACACACAGACACAGGTAGACAAATATATATGCAGATATACGTGCAGAAATTTATGTGCAGTCACTTGAATAACAGTCATCCCACCAGCAACCACGTGCATGTACACTGATGTGCTTGTGGGCATGTGTGGGCGCACACACACACCCCGAGATTAGGTGCTTTCCTTATTACTTCTTAAAGATCATCCTTTCCTCCTAGTGAACATCATACGTCTATCCTGTATTTGGAAAGACAAATCACTCCCACATATTTACAGGATTTACAAAATAAACTCTACCACATATATCCATATTTATTCTGTTCTGCAAGGTCAAGCTCTCTTACCCTAAATGGGTAAAAAACAGAGAAACCTCTTCCACTGTTTCTCATTATATGTACTGTAAGTATAAATCACTCAAGGCAAGTTGAAGTTTTTAAAAAGGGTATTTTTTTGTATGCTCTTTCAAAAAAAAAACCCACAGCTTCCTGCTTATCTTTACACTAATTTCCTTTGATAAATTATAGGTCTAGAAAATGTCAGTTTGCAACTTAGATAACCACTTCCCTCCCTGTTGGGCCCCCTCCCATTTACTTTATATCTTTCCTCAATGCTGAAGCCAATGGCAGACTGCAACTTGCGTAAGCAGATAGGGCAGAGGTCTAGAGGGCGCCGGTCAGCTTCTTCC